TAACGCGATGTTAAAATTAAAAAGTCCTGTGGTGTTGCGATGGTGATTAAACTTCCTCTGTACCTAATGGGAATACCCAGAACCTGGGATTTACCCTGACATAAGTTTCAATCATACCAGCTATAAAAGTTAGAACCATTTACTTGTCAGCGCTGTTTCATAGATATGGTCGTTTACGATATTTGGATGGAATAACCATACATCACCCCTCTTGACAAAAATGGAATAGGAATTTGGCAAGGCAAGACCATATTGGTTTAATTTATAATAGATTGGCTATGGATATCTCAGAGTAAAGATGAAATCAAGCCTGCCAATATGAAGTTTATCGTACCATTGAGTTTTTGACGCTTTCGGGTTCAATATATATATTAATAATTTTATAAGAGCTTTCGAATGCCAGACTGCGATCGTTGACGGGTAAGTCATTCTAACTCAATATGAATAATCTTGGTTTTACCTCAAACAGCTTTAATATATAACGCGTTCCAAAGAATTTTGAACAATTCCAAACTTGTGATTTTCCGCACAGATTGAGGAAATTAACAAAAAGTCGCAGACTCGTCAATTTTTTTAAGGAAATTCGCTTTTTTTGGCAGACACAATTTGACTGTCTGCACAAATACCCTTTTTATATCAAGTCAATGCAAGATTCCACTAAAAACAGTATATACGCCAAAAGTATTTATAGGAGTGTCTGAAATTCAAACTCCCCTATATCTTGCTTCCAAATCTAAGAGAGTCTGAAATTCAGACACCCTTATAACTTGCTTCCAAGTATAGGGATGTCTGAAATTCAGACACCTCTATATGCAGTATATTGCATCCAAATATAAGGGTGTCTGAACTTCAGACACCCTTATATCATGCTTCCGAATATAAGGGTGTCTGAAATTCAGACACCGCTATATCATGCTTCCAAATAAAAGGTGTCTGAAATTCAGACACTCCTATATATATTGCATCCAAATATAAGGGTGTCTGAATTTCAGACACCCCTATATTTGGATGCAATTAGAGTTGCTGGCAATACAGAATAAATAACTGATGCAAAATATAGGGATATATATAACTGACATTCAGACTACCTTAATCTTTCTAATACAAAAGTCAACGCGTTCCAAACTAAAATGGGATTTTCAATTATATTTTTCTCCGTTAGTAAAGGTCTTTTTCCAAAAAATGGGTCATTGCATTTTTTCTTTCCCAATGAGCAAAATATATATACTGTCCGCAACTGCAACTTATAATCAAATTTGGAACTTATAACCGTCCGCAATGAATCTAAATTTGATGCAGTGAGTTTAATTTTGATTCTAACTTTTACCTCTAAAATAGAAATTATTTTGAGAACTATAGTATGCCTAAAGTAGCCGCATCAGCTAAATTTGTTGTAAATTGAAAATTATGACGGCCTAAAATTTCTGAGTAGCTATATAGAGTACAGATATGGGTTTCCACTTCGTTCAGCTGATCAGTTGGGTATGAAAGCCTAAAATACCAGGTCAGTTTGTTAGAAAATGCAAACTATTATTACATATAATTGTTTCACAACTGAGATGGAAAATTGCACTACAAATTAATAATTGTTTGTACAGTAGTTTTAAAACTATATTCTATAACAAATCAGTTCGTAATTCCATATCCGTATCGAAATGAGGCATTCTTAGCAGGAATAAAATTACAGATAAATCATAACTAAGGCAAGTAAATGCAGTTAAAATTGGAATGCTGTAATAAAATATGCATATAGATGCAAATCTTCGAGTCGCACAGTGTCAGTACACAGTAAGCTTCAATCCCTACATACATGCAGTTATTAAACTGAAATTTTATCCCCACTTAGCCGCGTAAATTCATTAAAGATATATTGTTCGTCCAAAATAAATATATATGTTTTAGAGCCGAATAGCAGTATTGTAGAATGTTTCCAACCACATATATAACTATACGTATAGAGCCTGAGTTCTTAAACGTGCCGAATTATTGGAAGGTATCTATGTTAAATATAAATATATATCTGAATCTGATAGGCCTATCTTTGTGCGGTTTGACAGTTCGATTTCATATTATAGCTATGATAAATATACCATCACAGACTTGTACATTCTTCGACTGAATCTTTATCACGCATGCCTCTGGCCTTTGCCTTTCAGTTTGTAGGCTATACGTAATCTTTATCTTGGTGAATGGTTACCTGACACGAATACTTGCAATCTTTCTGCGCTAAATTAGTTGCGGTGGCCAACGAGCTATAATTAAACAATAAACATAATTAAAAACAGCTTTACATTAGAGTGAGGTATATTAGAGTCAAAGAAGAAAAAAGGCCATTTACTAGCCACGATATCATATGATGCCCGTGAATACCTACAGTGTATATATATATAATTATATCCCCTGGATATAGAGAATGGATTCAAGATATTAAAATCAACACTGTCCAACTGTCGATTCAAGTTGTGAAAAGCAAACGATCCTGAATAATACAGTATATGAATACAGGAAGGATTATAAGTCGGTGTAGTGTGAGGCCAGTCATGATATACCGTACAATGTAGCTATAAATTCTCTATGAATATCACGAATGATGCTGGTGAAGCTCTATGTGTTTACACAGCACATGCGAATGCGATAGTATTATAATGTCGGCGCAAACCAAGCAGTAAACTCATTAGCACCATGGGAGTGAGGAAATCAGCGCATAATAATCAATGTTAAGTTTCAGATAAACATTGCAAAATTTTGCGCACGATATCAAATGAATAGCAACGTACCATGTATCTCTATAAATTACTCGCGGTACACGAATCAAAAGTAAATAAACTCTGTTTCTAAATTCCCTTAGAATATTGATAAATAGGAAAATTATTTACCTGCATTGACATTATTAGTATCCCTTGACGAATTTTATAAATCATTGCCAAAGCGAATCCGTACCCACACTGTATTCATTTAGTAACTATAGTTGTTCGCTATGTCGCTAGGATATGTCTATTGAATCAATTTCTACACTAGTTCTGTTATTCTGCGGGATTAGACTTTGGAATATGAACACACGCGCACGGAAACTTAGAATTCAAATTAAGATTATGAATCAAGCTCAACCAATCAGGACGTGACAATTGACAATAAAACATATATTTGACGGCAACCTCTGTGTCGTCTGCCCACGCACGAGCCTTTTGAATAGATTGTCACCGCGGAGTGTTAAAATTTTAAGATATGGTTAGACTGGTCATTATACTATTTTGCAAATTTATGTTGCCGTTATAGAGAATTAGAAAGAGTGTTAATTCAGACAAAGAGCTATGGGATATGAATTGAGATTCGGCCGTAAGATGAAGCGACGGCCACCAGGTAAACCATACAGCAGTTCTATTTATCATGAATTGTGTATTGCGTGAATTATGAAATAGTATTTTATTCATGTTGCAAACTTAATGCGCGCAATTTGCTGAAGTAATGCGACAACTGTAGTGTAGATCATTTGCGGTTTGCACCGATATTAATCATAGTGTACCGCAGTTACTCAATTACAATGTGTATACAATACATATCATGTTAGCTCTATTATTTTCTTAATAGACCTTCACTAACGTTTTCTCTAAAGACTTGAATTGCACTGATTTTATATCAAATTTCATTCGTTGTGGAGTGTGTATATAGGCCCTTCGAATGCATTACACTTCATTTAAGTGATTTAACTATAGTAAATTATCTCTGGCTTAAGTCTATTTCAACGCGTCGATACGTTATTCATATCTTTCTAGTTTATTATAATAGCTACATGGTTACTGCAGCTTTTAGCGCAGAAGTATTGTGAGTATTCGACTCCGGTATACATTCATGCTGTGCATGCATGGTCGAAGATAGCTATATGTATATTATATAGCTACATATCACAGTCTCGTAAAGATACAAGCATGGACTGTGTAACCGATAATAAAAACGATTTTTGCGGATAACATGTAGCGCGGCATTATATTTCATTTTATTTACCATACCGCCAAACGAATGTTCTACAAGTGTTTATATCGCGTCTTGTCGTGCGCTATACTAAGCCGAAATTAATGAAGCTATATATGTTTTCCATAATCCAAAGCTGCAGACAAGTAAATCTTTGAAAACTATTGCCAACGATATCTGAAAGTAAAATACGCTATCAGGCAGACAATTTATGCGGTATTCATAAAGACTAGGCTAGAGCTGTATTTCGCTATAATTTCAGGTGTTTGCCATGCAAAGCTAGACTCGTCAATCGCCATATAGTAGTTCGCATTGCAAGTATTCATAACGTTACTCTGTTTGAATTTCCTGATGAGAAATCGGTTGATTATGCGCACCCAAGCTCCAAGGATTTGGGCCATTTGGCATGAAGACCAACTCATCACAATTGTACTGATCTAATATGTGCTTTGACCAATTAACCGCAAAACATTATTGTCGTTTCATCAAGCCTGCCGCACACGAGAGCTATCTGCTGAGCAAAAAGTTACTCGTGCCTGTTAGCTCAGCCGATAGCTCACCGTGTGCGGATACATTTTACTGAGTTTTTTGCCTCATGCAACCTTTTCTCACGTATCAAACATGTTTGATCGGTGAGCTATCAGCTGAGCTAACAGGCACGAGTAACTTTTTGCTCAGCAGATAGCTCTCGTGTGCGGCAGGCTTTAGTTTCTTGACCCATTGCACTCTCAGTCATATTTTGCACTTCTAACGGTTGTTTTCTAGGCCAGATAAGTAAATATAGCAGCTCGTGAAGCCTCCTCCGCAGGCATCGCCTTTAGATTGTCGGGCAAAATTTACTTGCAGGCAAAACAAATTGTAAAGTATGTGAACCACGAGATGTCTGCGGAGGAGGCTACAGCAAAACATATGAGTGTCTGAATTTCAGACACTCTTATGATCTTATCTAATTCTATTGCGAGTTATATGGGTGTCTGAAATTCAGACACTCTTATATTCTATTGCGAGTTATATGGGTGTCTGAATTTCAGACACTCTTATATTCTATTGCGAGTTATATGGCTGTCTGAAATTCAGACACCCATATAACTCGCGCGCAATATAATATAGTAAGAGTGTCCGAAATTCGGACACCCGTATAGTGTGTCTGAATTTCAGACACTCATATAACTCGCAATAGAATATAAGGCTCTATTGCGAGCTATATGGGTGTTTGAATTTCAGACACTCATATAACTATATCTTGCATGATCGTTTATTCAATTTCCAGCGATAGAGGAGTCTGAAATTAAGACACCCCTATATATTACACCAGTTATTCTATTGCACATGCATTTTAGCAGACAGTTCATTTTTTTTGTTTAAAAGTTTGGTATTGTGCGGTAAAATGAACACTTATCAGAATATTCGGCGAAAATTAGCTAAAAACATTAAAAATAAGCTTTTTTCTACCAATTCCTTCGATTTTAATTGATTTTGGAAGTAGACTGAACACACTCAGCACAAATTATAGAAAAATAACAAAAATGTAAGCCAGAAGAATTGCTGTCAGCGAAAATCAAGATTATATATCAATACAATTTCGACACAAGTTCGCAGGAAATCGCCTTTTTCTTTGAAATTTGGGGCAAAATTACGTTGACTTGGCAATTATACCGTATTTTGGCAGAAAAATGAGAAATTTCCGCAAAATATTGCAAATTTGAGTCAAAATTCGAAGTTTGGAATTGTTCAAAATTCTTTGGAACGCGTTATTTGCAGATTTGCTGTGTTTGTGCATTACATTCAAAGTGTATGCATATATTGACAGTTGTTTAAGCCAGTTATTTTGTCAAGGAATCTCTTGACTCCTGTATAGAAAATAGCTGCATGGAATATAAAGTGTACTATTGTGGGAAGTCTGCCCAACCCAAGTCGTCCAGTTCGAGTTTTACTCGAACCGTAAGCAAGTCAGTTCATCATAATATCTGTTAATGTGCAAGGTAGACGGTTGATTATTGTTAGTCTAATCAACCACAAATTTGTCTAAAAGGCAATCAGTAATTCAGTTAATTTGTTTTGTAAATGTCGGAATGATTTTCGTAATGTTTAATGTGATTGCATATCTTCTTTGTAAGCGGATGATAAGCGACCAGAACTTATGTATCTCTTTTGTATCTATACTTCACATTTCTTTATGAGGCATGAGGGCTCTTTAAATAGTATTGGACCGGTCAAATATTAAAGGTATGCTCTTAAGTCGAAACGTTGCATGTGAACCACGTACGCTCCCGGCTCCCAACTTCTCGACCAAGGTCTTTCCTCATAACGTCCAAGTTATGTTACAGACAAGCGAGCTTTCTATGACAAGTTTTCATGTGGCAAGTTTTATCTTCTGCACGTGTGTACGTGCAACAATTTTTTTATGACAAGTTTTTCCTCCTTTTCTGACCGCCGCGATAAGTTATTATCCCTAACTATCAATACAACAATACATCGCTGACCAACCACATGCAAGCGCTCATATTATTCCAGACATTCCAGTGTTGACCCATGAGGAAGAACAAAATTTGTAATTTGCCAATTTTTTCTATGACAAGTGCACTTGATCAATAGGTAGCATACTAGGTTTTGCCTAGGTTGCATACTAGGGTTAAGTCTACTGTCATACTAAAACTTGTCATAAAACTTGTCAATGAAAACTCGCTCGTCTGTAACCGGCTTTACATTCTATGCGCAGTCGTATATTTTACTCTTTTAATGGCGCTAAACATTGTGTCAAGATTTGGGAACAATTGACTAAAATGCTATCTACTTTTCTCCCTTTTCATACAAAGAATTTTCAAATTTTTCTTTCGCTGCATAAAACCCGATTTAAACTTTCGCGGGGTTTCGACTTACTCTGTCGTCTTGTCCGCTCTTGATTTTCACCTCGGCAATTACACCTTGGCATGTTTTGCCAAGGACAAGGTGTTGACAGAATGCTGCTACGTTGTTTGAGTTAATTAAAGTATTAAATAACACATATCCGCACGTGTGTAAATCACTGAGCTATACCGGCCAAGTGCCAACCGGCCAACGTAAGGAAGGAAATGCCAAGGAAACTACAAGGGAAAAAAGCAAAGGCAAAAGACATAAAAAAGCAAGCGAAGATGAAAATTTTGCTGAAGAGGCGCAAGCGAGGATGAAAGTTTTGCTGAAGAGGCAGAAGGCAGCTGTGCATGTGGAGCCAATAGCAAACAGTTTTTGCATGCCTCTGAAATTTCACGCTTCGTAGCAGGTGACCATTTTTCCTCGCTCTCTTTCTCTCGCATCCCCCCCCCCCCTAGCTTCTCTCACCCTCGCCCTCCCCCCTAAATATCGCCTGCTATACGCAGGCTAACGGTGCTTGGGAAATAGGAGATTATGGGAAATTATTGGAGACGATTATGTTATAGTTGTTAGCTAGGGTCGAATTATGTTATAGTTGTTAGGGTCGGTTCATATCTCATTATTTTCATCATAGGTCGGTTCATGTCGATTATGTTATAGTTGTTAGGGACGATTATGTTATATTTGTTATAGGGTCGGTTCATTTCTCTACTATGAAGATTACTATGTGTATGGCTAATTGCTTTATGGCTACCTACTAGCCTACAAATCGCTGGCTACTATAGTACTATGGATACTAGGTTACCCACAGGGCAGTAATGCTGCCTTTGACAGCAAAAGACAAACTACAGGGTGTTGAACGAGTCCTTCAGAAACATCCTATTATTGTTATCCTAGCCTGCATAGCGGCTCTCAGAGAAAGTAGATCTGATGGCCGCTACGCAGGCTATTGTTATCCTTGTTAACCCATTTATTGACAGCACGGCCCTACCACTGACTGAGTATTAAAAATCGTCTGGCGTTGGACAGGGTAAATACTAAAGTCATTACTGTGCTGATGGATTAACAAGAGCCATTGGCAGATAGGTTTGTTAGCCCATTTACTGGCAGTACCCTGTACCACTGACGAGTAAAATTTTCTGGCGCTGGACAAGGGAAGGGCGCATTGCCAGCTAATGGGTTAAACCACCATGGTTAAACATAAGATTTGATGCTCCAGGAAATGTAAACAAACTATCAGTGTGACATCCCAGTTTATATATTTATACACTCGGAATATTGATTTCTCGGTAAATACAAAATTATTTTAAAGTATAACAACCAGCGAAGACGTAAGCCACTAACTAATCGCGCAGACTATATAATGACATATATATATTATCCGTCCGGTCCGTCCGTCGCCATCCGTCCGTCCGTCCGTCATTCATCCGTCCGTCCGTATCCCCGTTTTATCCTAACTCGTTTTTAAAACACAAAGTTTGCATAATTAAGGCAGTGCGGTTCGCAGAATAATATTTTGGGCTCACATTTTTCGAATTTGCCTTGTAACCAAGCCTGATCCAAGATGGCGTCCATCAGTTGCTAAGCAACTTACCTTAATTTATTTACCGCAAGAAATTCGACGGAAATATAATTCGGTAAACCGCATTTTGGACTGAATTTAAAAAGACAAACAATAACATAAGACATCGAAAAAGCAAAAGCGAAGATTTTAATCGAAGAAACGACTCAATTGATGTTTCAGGTACTGCGCTAGTACGTTTAATAGTACTGGCTCATGAGTCAACAAGTTTTATATACAAGTATACAACTGATATATACACTATAAAATATTAAAATCGCATGACATGACATTTTTATCGTCTCTTGCAATTACATTTTGTGTTTTTTCTATTATTATATATTTTTTCCACACAAGGGGTTTGAGGACTTTGGAAATTTCAGGAGAGGGGGGGGGGGGATTTGGGGTTAAATTAAGTTTAAACCCAGGGGTTGTGTCAAAAGGGAATCCAGTAATTTTAGCATTTCCAGGGAAGGGGATTTTGTGTTATTTGGAAATTCCAGGGTTGGAAATTCCAGGGATGGGGGTTCTTTTCTTATAAAATCATTGTTCTCAGCCCCCTGTGGGAAAAAAATGCAATCTGCCATTATAAAATATGATACCTCACTTATATAGTTTTAATCTGTCATTTTGGTTTTAAAATACAGTAATTACAGTGAACTTTTAAAATGCACCAATCAATTTGGGGGTGACCACCCCTTCCCCTGTTGACATGGATTTAGCGATTTGCCATTAATCATGTTATCAAGAGGTGGTTATGATATTTGGTATAAGTAAAATTCATTGTGGTGTGGCATTTGATCCCCCCTCCCTAATATGGTGTAGGGGATTTTATGTACAAATTTTACTCCTGTCAATCAAAAATTCAAAATCAACATATTCTGACCAATCAGAATGCTCCGGCAGGTTTTTAGCCAATCACGTATTTTCAGTCCACCAGTGGACTGGCAAACGAAATCATATAGAAACCCGGCAGGCGGTTTTTCCCCCTGCCGCCTAACTTTTCCCGCCCTAATTTTCCCCGCCCGCAACCTCCCCTAAAAACCGTCTGCTACGCAGGCTACTACCTCTGAGTCACTACCTGCCTTTGGGCTTCCAAAGGCAAAGTCCTCAATTTAATACCCCTAACTGTGTGGAAAAAACAATCTGCCATATTTATTGATTAAAATTGATTTTATCATTGATAAATGTATACACCCTTGAACAGTAGAACACTGTGTATAGAAATAATAGAAAAACCACAAAATGTAAATGCAAAAAACGATAAAAATATCGAGAAATTTCACAAATATTCAGTCATGCGATTTTAATATTTTATAGTGTATATCAGTTGTATATAAAACTTGTTGACTCATGAGCCAGTACTATTAAACGTACTAGCGCAGTACCTGAAACATCAATTGAGTCGGTTACGTTCTTCGATTAAAATCTTCGCTTTTGCCTTTTCGATGTCTTATGTCATTGTTTGTCTCTTTAATTCAGTCCAAAATGCGGTTTACCGAATTATCGAAGTGGTATTTCCGTCGAATTTCTTGCGGTAAATAAATGAAGGTAAGTTGCTTAGCAACTGATGGACGCCATCTTGGATCAGGCTTGGTTAAAAGGCAAATTCGAAAAAAGTGAGCCCAAAATATTATTCTGTGTGCGGTTCGTCATGATCAACATTTTCAAAAGCGGCCAATTAGACCAGGGGTTAAAGGGCAATGACAATAACATGCAGGTGACATTTAACATTGTGTCTCACTAATTAAAATTTGCGTGTTTATTAATAATAATGTTTAT